TAGACAATGTTTGTTTTCTTTAGTGAGGTTAGAGAAAGAGGAGAAGAAGAAGAAGAAGAAGGAGGAGGAGGAGGAGGAGGAGGAGGAGAGGAGGGTCAGACCTCATCCTCGAGGATTATCTTAGGAGCGTGACCTCGCTACGGAAGAGTATTTAGAATAAGGCAGAGGAGGAGAGTGTGGATTCCTCTCATCTCCTCCTCCTTGTAAAATATAGGACGTGGCTATTTTCTTTCTTTCTTTCCTCTTTTCTTTCTTTCTTTCCTCTTTTCTTTCTTTCCTCTTTCCTTTTTCTTTTTCTTTCCTCTTTTCTTTCTTTCATGGTTGGTGTTTTGTTGTTGTTGTTGTGTTGTTGTTGTTGTTGTTGACATGTACATGGTTATGGTCCTTTTTTTTTTTTTTTTTTTTCTTATTTCTTTTAATTTTTATGTGTTTAACTTCTCGCATAAAAGGCAGGGGAAGGGGAGAAAAGGCTGTAAAAAAAGGAAAGGGGGTAGAGAGAGGGGGAAAAAAGGAGGGAGTAAAGGGAAAGAGCCAAAGAGAAGGAAAGAAGAAGGAAGAAGAAGAAGAAGAAGAAGAAGAAGAAGAAGAATTATGAGGGAGGAGAGGAAGACAGAGAAGGGCAGGGGGCCAGGTGTCCCTCCTTACAGAGGAGAGCAGGGTGACAGGTAGAGCTGAGGAGGGCAGGGAGGGCAGGGTGTCAGGTAGGGCTAGGAGAGGGCAGGGAGGGGGGGAGAGGCAGTAGAGGTAGGTAGGTGAGGCAGTAGAGGTAGGTAGGGGAGGGCAGTAGGGGAGGGGAGGAGGGCAGTAGGGGTAGGGGGGAGGAGGCAGGGAGGCAGTAGCGGGTAGGGGAGGCAGTAGAGGGGAGGGGAGGGGAGGGCAGAGGGCAAGTAGCGGGCAGGGAGGGCAGTAGAGATGAGGTAGGAGGGCAGGGAGGGCAGTAGAGGAAGCGACGGCGGGTAGGGTCGCGTCTGAGAGCAGGAAGCGAGTGTCTCCCCCCGACGCGACCTTGCCTGTTGGGTCCCGCCTCCTTGCCTCCCCGGCGCCTTCCTCCTTCCTCCTTCCTCCTTGGCCCTACGCACGCCCGCACGCCGCACGCCCGCTCTCTCGCTTCCTAGATCTTCATATTCTTTCTTTTTTTTGTAGATTTCCTTTTTTCTTTCTTTTTTTTTTTTTTTTCTTTTTTTTTCTCTTTCATCTTTCTCGTCTGACTTCTTTGATGAACAGAGAGAAGAGAAGAGAGAGGAGAGAGAAGCGAGGAGAAGCGAAGAGGAGGAGAAGGAAGGAGAGAAGAAGAAGATACGGAGGAAGAATGTAAGGAAGAAGAAGAAAGAAGAAGAAGAAGATAAGGAGGAGGAGAGGGAAAGGTGTTCGAAGGATGCGGGGAATCCGTGTCTGGGGCGACGAAAGCCAGGCAAGGAGCGACACGAGGAAGCCCTGAAGTGGCGACCTTGGGAGGGAAAGAGAGGGAAGGGGGGAGGGGGAGAGAAAGATGTGTGGAAGAGAGGGAAAGATAGCGGTTTTAGATACACACGCACACGCAGACACGCAACACGCACACGCACACACACGCACAACGCACACCACACGCACACGCAACACGCACACACGCACACGCACACACACACACACACACACACACACACACACCACACACACACACACCACACACACACACACACACAACACACACACACACACATATATACACACACACTCACACACACACATATACACACTCACACACACGCCTACACACTACACTTCTCTTGCCCTCCTTGTCCCTCCTCTCTTCCCTCCCTTTCCCCCCCTCCTTTGCCTCCTCTCCCCTCCCCTCCCCTCCCCACCCCGGCCTCACGAAATAGCCCATGTAAATAAACCCGGGGCCGAAAGAGCATGGTAGACTCACGTGGAAATTCCCACAGCAAGTCCGCAGTCACGATATTTATAAGACTGACAGACTTACTTTTAGAAATGTGAGGGGGTGGGAGAGGGGGAGGGGGGAGGTGGTAGGGGAGGTATAGAGGGAGAGGGGGGTGTGGGGGGAGGTGGTGGGGTATGGAGAGAGGGGAGGGGTAGGAAAGGGGAATAGAGAGGGGAGAGGTGGTAGGAAGGGGGGTATGGAGGTAGTATAGAAGGGTTATAAACAGGAGAGAGGGAAGGGTTAGGGGTGGGGGGGTGGGGGAGGGACAGAAGGCCATTGATTTATTGATTTGCAATAGCGGCCATGTTCAGTGGCACGCCAAGGGGACGACCGCACGCACGCACGCACGCACAAGCACGCAGGCGATGACTCACTTGTTTACGAAGTGTTTTCTCTCGCGAAATTTCTTTCTGTTTCTCGGTCGTTCTCGCTCGTTCGACTTCTCTCTGATTTTCTTTGGTTTTCTTTTGTTCTTTTTACTATTGTTGTTATTATCGTTATTATCATTACTATTATTATTATTATTATCATTAATATTATTGTTATTATCATCATTACTATCATTATAATTATTATTATCATGATTATTACAAATCTGACTCAGAATAACCGCGGATAAGAATAAACAAGAAGGAAAAAGTGAGAAGTAAGAATAACAATGTTCTCAGTTAGTAAATATCTCGTGCGTGCGACATGGCAACGGATTGCAGAGAGAGAGACTGTATTTAATTGAAAGGTTTTTTGGGTTGCAGTTTTTTTTTTTTGTGTTTATTAGTTTTTGTTTTTTTTCTTTTTTTTTGTTTTTTTGTTATCGGGAGGAAGAGAGGGAGAGGAGAGAGAGAGACAGATATATATATAATATAATATATATATATATATATATATATATATATATATATATATATATATATATATATATATATAATATACATTATTTTTAACGTAATTCCGAGTAATTTTCTGGAGAATTCAAAAATAGACGATTATTTAAGGCCGGAATTGCGTTCTTGATCCGAGTGTTCTGCGACCGAGATGATTCATTTCCTTCCTCTCCTCCTCCTCCTCCTCCTCGTCCCCCTCTTCTTATTCTCTTTCTTCTTTTTCTCGTTCTGGTTCTTGTGCTTGTTTTTTTTGTTTTTTGCTTCTGCGCTTTGTTATTATTTGTCTGTTTATATTCTGTAATTTCTTATTCCTCTCCACCACTCCTCCTCTATCTCTTCCTCCTCTTGTATCTCCTCCATATCCTTCCCCTCCTCCTCCTCCTCCTCCCCTCCTCCTCCCCCTCCTCCCACTCCTCCACCTCCTCCTCATATCCTCCTCTCCTCCTCCTCCTCCTCCCTCCTCCTCCTCCCCTCTTCCCTCCTTCTACTTAACAGTCAAGGACTCTTTAGGGGAAATGAATGAGTCTTTAGGACATACATATCGCATCTCTCACCTCACTCCCCCCCTCCTCCTCCTCCTCCACCCCCCTCTTCCCCTGGCGTAAGACCCCCTCCCCCCCTTGGCGTAAGACCCCCCCCCCTGGAGTAAGACCCTTGGCTTAAGTATTGCATAAGTTGACGTGTATAGTTGGGGGGGGGGGGGGGGGGGCAGGGAGGGGGGATCTTTCTCGCACTTATTGTTCTTTTTTTTTTTTTTTGTCTCTCTTTCTTTCTCTTTCTCTTTGTCCTCTTGTTCTCTCTCTTTTGTTTGTTCACGGATATGTATGTAGAGAGAGAGAGAGGGAAAGAGAAATAGAGAGAGAGAAAAAAGAAAGAGACAGAGACAGAACAGAAGAAAGACAGAGAGAAAAAAGAGACGAGAGAGAGACAGACAGACAGACAAGAAAGACAAGAAAGGAGAAAAGAAAGAGAGAGAGACGAGACAGACAGACAGAAAGAAAGAGAAGAAAGAAAGAGAGAGAGAGAGACAGAAGACAGAAGAAAGAAGAGAGAGACAAGACAGACAGAAAGAAAAGAAAGAGAGACAGAAACAGCAGAGAGAAAAGAAAGAGAGAGAGAGGACCGAGACAGACAGAAAGAAAGAGAAGAGACAGAGACAGACAGAAAGAGACGAGAGAGACAGAGACAAGACAGACAGAGAAAAGACGAGAGAGAGAGAGGAGAGAAGAGACGAGAGAGAGAGATGAGAGAGAGAGAAAGAGAAGACAGACAAAGACAGAGAGAGAAAGAGAAAGAGAGAAAGAGAGAGAGAGAGAGAGAGAGAGAGAGAAGAGAGAGAGAGAGAGAGAGAGGAGAGAGGAAGAGAGGGGGGGGGTTCCCAGAATCGAGAGGCTTCTTCTGGAGCCAGGGCGTCAAGTTGCATGCAAGGTGATGTGCAACTTTACCTCAGAGTAAGGGAAGGAGGGCGGGGATGCTGCCGTCGCCCCGCTCTCTTCCCGGTGTCTCTGTTCTCTCTCTCTTATATTATCTATTCTCTCTCTCTCTCTCTCTCTCTCTCTCTCTCTCTCTCTCTCTTCCGCGGTTTATATTCTCTTTCCCCTTATTGTCTCTTTTATATTTATCTCTCCTCTCTATCGATCTTGGCTCTCTTTTCCTCTGTTTCCTCTCTCTCCTCTCTCTCGTCGTCTCCACTCTCTCTCTTCTCCTCTCTCTCTCTCTCTCTCTCTCTTCTCCTCTCTTCTCCTTCACCCCTTTCTCCTTCCTCCTCCCCCCTTCACTCCTTCCTTCTTTCATTTCTTCCTTCCTCCAGATGAAGAAGAAGAGTTAAGAATATGAGAACATGAGACGAGACACAAAATGCA